GGTAAGTGCATGGTTCAAATGTTAGTGAGAGAGAAATGGCATCTGACTCATGGAGCACCAGTACTGGAGAAAGGGAGTTGTTTAATTGGGATGGAGTTCATCTGATCCATGCCTGGATGAGTGTCCTGGTGAATTATATAGTGAGGGTTGTAGATTCATACTAATTACAGGTTCAATTGAAGGGAAGTTTAAACAAATCAAAAAGGAATAAGTGTGGAGTTACCCGGTATTGTAGAGGCAAATGTTAATCAATTTGGAACAGAAAGGGGTAGATGATGTGTGCGGAATTGTAGCAGAAATTAGACCCAGAGGGAGAGACTAGTAATGTCAAAGCTGAAGGCATGTTATCTGAATTCACATCATGTTTGCAACAAGTTGATTGGGTTGGCAGCAAAATAGAATTAAACAAAGATGAATTGATTTTTTTTTACGAGGACATGCTTACAGAGTGACCTAGACTGGGAACTCAATATTCAAGGGTATTCAGTGTTCCACAAGAATAGGCAAAACGGACAAGGAGGTGGAGTAGCCATTGTTAAATAAAGATGGTATCAATTGCATGGTAAGCAGTGATATAGGTGCAATCAATTATGAAGTGAAATCCATTTGAGTGGAAATGAGGAATAGCAAGGGAAATAGGTCATGGAACAGACTCCTCTATATGCCACTGAAGAGGTGCCTCACTGTTGAGCAAAGTACATATTGGCAGATAATGGAAATGTGTAAGAAGGACTTTACAATGATCATGGGTGATTTTAAGCTGCACATTGACAACTCAGATAGGCAATGATGACATGGAAGGTGAATATCTAATTTGGATCGGGGATTGCTTCCTGGAGTAATTTCATATTGCTTGGCATCAACTTATACCATCAAGAGGAGGCACTCTATGAAAAGGATGAAGCACCTGTGGTTAACAAATGCAGTCAAGTATCCAAAGTGACAAAACTAGTGGTAGGCCAGAAGATTTTTTAAGGAACAACTAAAAAGCTAATAAAGAGGAAGAAAATGGAATCTAAAATTAAATTGGCAAGAAATATAAAAATAAAAAACAAAAGCTTCTATAAATAAATAATAATAAAGTAGATGTTGAAACCCTTTAGAGCTGCAACTGAGAAGTTGATAATGGGAAACAGGAAATGGCAGATAATTTAAACTAATATTTTGCGTTGGTCTTCACTGTGGATGATTCTATAACATCCAAAACACAGTAGATAAGCAAGGTGCTGATGGAAGGAAGGATCTTAAATGTGAAGTGATACTCTTTGGAAGGAGAAACAAGACGAGAGTACTCGATGAATGGCAGGACACTAGGAAGCTCAGAAGAACAGAGTGATCTTTGGGAGCTTGTCCCCAGATCCCTGAAGGTAACAGGGCAGTTTATTAGGGAACTTCAGAAAACGAGGCGATGCTTTCGTTTATCAGTTGAGACATAGCTTATAAGAGCATGGAGGTTATGTTGAGGCATGTAACGGCACAACATGTAAAAAGTACTTGGATGAACTCTTGAAGTGTCATTAACATTCAAGGCTATGGGCTAGTGCAGAAGTGAGACAAGTGTAGGTAGGAGTAGATTTTTGAAGTATATTCCGTGTCAATATCATGAGGGACAAAGTATTTGACAACTAATCTGATCTGATGCTCTGCATCAAAGGGTTGTAAAGGAAGTGGCTCTAGAGGTAGAGGAGGCATTGGTCAACATATTCCAGATAGGTACAGTAAAAAGACTGTAGTGATTCAAGAAGGCAGCCCACCATCACCTTCTCAAGCGCAACTAGGGACTGGCTTGAAGGAATTTAAATATAAATTTTTTTGTTCCATTGTCACAAAGTCTGTAGCTTC